TCTGAGCTGTCAGCACAGAGGCAGACGCGGGGCTTGAACTCACAGACAATGAGATCATGACCTGAGCCAAAGTCAGATGCTTAACTGACTGAGCCACCCAGGCGCCCCTATTCTTACTATATTTCTGATTCTATTCTGCAAACCTTTTGGAGTACTCATCCACAACTTGTCTTCAAAATATAGGGGAGCACTTAACATTTTTTTATTGGCAGCAAAAAGAAAAGCTTTTCAAAAAGAACATTGCACTCCTGCAAAGGCCAAGGACTCCCAGTTCTAAGACACTACCCCTGAGGCCCCCATCTCCAGTCCTCTTACTAGGCTACAGCTGGTCCTACTGTCTCTTTAACAGACCCATGGGAGGTGTCAGGCCCAAACTGTTAGGGGCTCTGTTTTCAGATGTTTGGTTCCCAATATTTCTTTTACTTCATCTCTGAACTAGAGATGTATACTATTCTGGGATGACAGGATGTGTTTCACTTAACAGTGTGTCATAGAGCAGAATAATAACAATTACAACATATAGCTGAATATAAAATTATAACAAACAATAACAACAACAACAACAAAGATAATAATAAGCCAGTGTTAGCCAGAAAAACCGGGAATAACAACAATAAATGACTTCACTTCAATCTGATAATTATTTAAGGAATTTCTGCTGCTTTTAAAGATACTGAAGAAGATAAACATTATTCAGTTTTAGAATAAAACTGAGATGCCTCATCTATTTCTTAAGTAGCCTGACCGTCTGGTTAAATGGAATGATTATCATACTGAAACTATGGAAGATAAATTGGTTCATTAATTCCAGCCTAGGACAGTGTGACGTTATTCATTTAGGCATCTAGGAAAGTTTGTAGGACTCATTTTTAGATAAGCCCATCTAAAGTCTGTGGACTTTACTATAAGATAATCCAAAGTTATCTTTTCCCTTACATAAGCAAAAGTAAAAAAAAAAAAAAAAAAAAAAAAAAAAAAAAAAAACAATTTCAGGGAACACTTTCCATTTCTTCCTTAAGAGCAGAATACTCCTATTTTTCTTGTTGTCACTATAATTTCTAGCTCACTACTTCTTATCTTAATTATAAGAATTACTGATCCAAAAAACTTTCACTTGTACAAAACAGTACCAGAGATGGCCCATTCTGTAGAGAGGGAATCAGTAAAATCAGAATATACAGGGAGTGTGTTTATACAAAATACTCCTATCAGGGCAATGCACAAAAATACAGGAAAGGAACAACATGCAGTCTATCTTCTCATGTGGGTTGAAAATTTTGGAATTACAATAAACTATGAAATTATTTTAGCTGAAATCTAGCTAATGATTTCTTGTTATATTACTAGATTCACTGTGAAAATTAGAAATAATTTTCTGTGATGATTAGGAAATACCGCCTCTGAATACACTCTGTTTCCCCAACACCATTAAAAAATAAACCCTGATGAAACTCTCTGCTTTACGTTTCAAGTCTTTCACCCTTTAGCAGCTTCCTTACAACCATAAAAACACAAGGGGAAAGAGTGAGAGAAAAAAACAATTCAAAAAGGATGGCTAGCTTATGGTCAAAACACAGGTGACAGAGTTGTCCAAAATACTGTTACAGCTTCTCCATTGACAATTCACTCCATTCTAGAGCCTTGTCAGCCCTCCCAGATTCATTGACCAACTATTATATTCAGAATGGCTCTGAAAACTTAACAGCACTTAGAAATGCTCTTGAGATATCTAAAAATGTCTTTATTCAGAAAGGAAAACATAACACCCGCCAAATTTGTAGGTTTGAAAAACCACTTCCAATAAGAATTAAAAGGCCCTCTTCCTCACTGAAATGGGACTATCAATATATGACTTGTCTGTTCATGAAAAATAGTGGGTTCTTGTCTCTGATGTCGCAATTTAGTTTAAAATCACTTTCTTGATGACAGGGTACATACAGATGATGAAACTATAAAGATGACAGTCTAATCTTCAGAGATCACTGATCATTGATAAAAGATTAAATAACGTAAACATCTGAAACGCCAGATTATCAGCTGGTTGGCAAACTCTCAGTATTGAAGTGTGCTGAGACATTACTGATAAGTGAAAAATGCTTTTCCTGTATGTTATGCAGAAATATATCCTCCTCCAGGAGAGGCAGATGAGTTTTAGTACCTCTGAATTTAATGTGTATACATGTATTTTTTCTCAATAATGATGCAATATGTGTAAAATGTTAAAAAATGATATACTGTAAAGTGCTCAAAATTATTGTTTTCTCTCAGAGTAATGCCTGATTGCTGACAATTTTGATCATCACTGTTTGGAATTTGAACCAATTTTAAATATACGTACAAGAATGATTAGACATGCTGGTCCTATAAAACTCCAAATAAAGTTGTTTTCTGTGCTAAGCCAACATCTGAAAAGTAAATAATAAATCTATAAATATGTTTGTATGTACTTCACAAAGCAACATTTTCAATGATACACAAGCATATTCAGAATTGCATTTCAAATACTTACGAGATCATCTTAACTTACACTTTAGTGGTGCCATAATATCTATATCCTAGCGATGCTGAAAATCCAACTACCACAGCTGGGCTGAGATAGCCAAAGATATAAAAATTCTTGTGCAAAAATCCCTTGTTGTAGATGACACCCACAACAATGAGATAGAGGTGTATGCCTTCAATGCACATCCATGCAAAGGCAGCTAAAAAGAAATAATGCAGCAGCCCAGCAATGATTGAACAGAAGAGCTGGAAACCAAAGAAAGAAAGGAACCATAAGCAGGGTTTGCTTTAACATTAGCATAACATAACATCCTGATTTTCTCCGTAAATTATGCCACTTGATACAATGCTTGCTCATATTAAAATATCCTCATCAAGTGCCAGTTTTTTAAGATGTACCACTTCCAGGTGAGCTTCTTCAATGTGAAGCACCAGTTGTGAAGCAATCCTGTGACAGAACTAAGTGACTGGTCTTGTCCAGAGAGAGTTACAGTTTTATACATTTATATTATGGGATCCGTTGGGGATTCGTCACAGGTAAAACGTGATCTCTGTGTTATGATTTAAGTTGATTTCTGTTTTGGAGATGCCTTCACCCTCCTCAATTTTATTCATGCTCAAAGAATGAAAATTATTGCTAATACCATGCTAAATGAAATATAATAAATATCTTGATTATCATGACAAACATTGACTTTACAAAATGGACAATGGATAATATATTTTACAAAAAGAATTCATTATGGAAGCACTGTAAGCTGTAAGATTATCAGGTAAGTTCAAGATGGATTTCAGTTAAATATTACTTATTAGTATTTACTTCACAAATAGAATTGGAGTTAGGCTTAGAAGAAATAATATAAAAAGAAGTAGTTACACGCTTCTGTATTAATAGAACTAACAGTATCTATTGCTGGAAAAGGAATATAATTCACACTTACATACCTATTGCACTTAATAAAAAGGAGTATAATCCAAGCATAATGAGATTATATACAAAATATATTAGGGGGTACTATATAAAGTTGGGAACAGAGAGGTCACTGGTAATCAAAATTTGGGAGCTACTTTAGTGAGGAATTGAGATTAAACTATGGCTTAGTAAGGAGAAAAACTTGATAAGTGAAACAGAATTGAAAATACTCTAAGGAATAGTTTTAGGGAAAGGATAATGGGGGGATGAAACTGAAGGAAAAATAAGGCATTGGAGGATAGTGAGTGGTATATAAAATTGGCAGGTGTTGGGAGCACCACTGCAAAACAACAACAACAAAAACAGTTATGAAGTTTATAGTCTAGTGTATACTATTTAAGATAGATGTTTGGTGGTATCTACTTCTGAAGAAAACCTTGATATCTAGGGGTTAGTGTCAATACTTGAAAGATTTCTACAAGGATGGCGATGTGGAGACAATTGAGTGTTTTGTGGCCATGAGAATGCACTTCTCCAATCTCCACTTGCAGGGAGGGCAATTGACCTAGAGCTCCAGAAGCTGCACTAGGAAAGACATTGCCCTGTTCATGTTTCCCATAGGCTGCTGCTACTAAGACCTTCCTCTTCTTGAGACACAGATTTGACTCAAGGTCTTCTCAAAGGACTCCTTGACAACCATGCTGAACTTTCCTGAAAAGTGCACTGCTGTGTCAAACACTTCCACCTACTTGTCCTTCCTTCCTTCTTTCCTTTACACATCTTCTCATGCAGATACTCACTTGCGTCTTGGTCTGACGACTCTCCAGTCTCTCTCTTCCCATTATCTCTCAGCCATTCTGCCTAATTAATTTACTGCATGTTTAATCCCATTTTTTTTTAATTTTTTTTTTTAACGTTTATTTATTTTTGAGACAGAGAGAGACAGAGCATGAACAGGGGAGGGGCAGAGAGAGAGGGAGACACAGAATCTGAAGCAGGCTCCAGGCTCTGAGCTGTCAGCATAGAGCCCGACGCGGGGCTGGAACTCACGGATCCTGAGATCGTGACCTGAGCCGAACTCAGCCGCTTAACCGACTGAGCCACCCAGGCACCCCGTTTAATCCCATTTTAACGCCTGCTCCTAGGAGGACTCAGACTAATACAATATAGAAACTGGTAAGGCCCTAGATCAATAATGGTGGGAAAGAGGTTGTTAGGAAAGTGTAATGACTAGGTGGAGCCTATTTGTCATAGCTCAACCTATGAACCCAGCTGCTTTTATGTTAAGATAAACTTTTAATTTCCAATTCTCGCTCTGTCCCTTCTGCCTTTGTTTAATGCCCAGGTAAAAACACAGCAAAACAAACAAACCAAAAAACAAACCAAAAGGTTATTTCTTCAGTTTGTAGCAAAGTTTTCACTTGTCCCAATGGTTCATCCTAACAAGGGACACTGTGCCTAATGAAATTCACAGGCAGGTTTTAGTTATGTTAACATTAGCAAACTTAGAAAACACTTAGGAACAAAATATATACTATGTTTGCTCATTAAGCTCTTAATTACAATTCATGATTTTATGACATGTATATTTAGGGAAAAAAATTAGAAAAAAAAAATAGACTGAGAGAGATCTACATACCTTATTAGTATTTGTATTGATCCCAACCAGAAAAACAAGTTCAGCAAGGAATAGGTTACAGCAGAGATTTTTGTGAATGGTCGTTCTGGTGCTTTGAATTTCACTGAAGAACCAGAAGGTAAAAATGCATATGGCAAGGCAAATCAGTGAAATAATTATTCCTAGTTGAGTGATCCTTGTAAGAATATTATAATCTTTAATACCCTAAGGGAAAATAATAATAAAGCTGTTAAGAGAATAACTCAGTAACTTGTCAAAGGAACTACAACATATAATGAACTTTCTTTTTGGTGTAACATTAATCAAAATGTTCATAAAATGTAAAAATACAAATGTGCATTTAGATGAGAAAAATTTTGTACCTTTGAAAATTCTCAATATTCAGAGAAATATGATATAAATCATGTAGCACTTTAAAAGTTCTGTAATTAGTGATTTTTTTCTGGGCACAGTGTATATTAGTACATGGTTTAACAATGTTATCGTCATCAGTTTCATGATATTAGAAAGGCAATTCATTATTGTAATGTGAAAATGGTTAATTAAAACAGATTTATCAATGGTAATAACAAGTCTTATTTCTATGCAGCAATTCATCTAAAACACATTAAACAAAGGTATCAGAAATACTGAATATATAGAACATCAAAATAGTAAAGCTGAAAGATTTTGAAATGAGAAAAGTTGGTTTTATTCTAGCCAGATGAATATTTATATTCTATATACAGAGTAGAGGCTTCTTTTCTCACTTAACATTCAGGAAAAAAAGTCTTTATAACTGACATGGTGAGGTAGATCTATTTGGCCACTTTATATATTTGATGGATTCTCGATAGACGTAGAAACTAACCTGATATTTAATGATAATTATGATACAGAGATATAAAATAAGAAATTATATAATGTAAAAGAAAGATATTAAATACACAGCATGAAGCTTTTCACTGTAGAGAGATTTTCATGTTTAAAAATCTTGTAGGCTTCTACATTATTAAAACGTTGCATTAGTTATAAATATGCTAATACTTATTGACCAGATGTCAAATATTTTTACCTAATTTGTACTCGGTAAAAATAAACTTTTGAGACAAAAGCAAAGGCCCTTAAAAACCGTGATACATTTAAATATGTAAATGGTTTTTTTCATGTCTTTCTTATTTATTTATTTATTTATTTATTTATTTATTTATTTATTTATATAATTTATTGTCAAATTGGCTAACACGCAGTGTGTAAAGTGTGCTCTTGGTTTTTGGGGGTAGATTCCGTGGTTCATCGGTTACACACAACACCCAGTGCTCATCCCAACAAGTGCCCTCCTCAAAGCCCATCACCCATTTTCCCCTCTCCCTGACACCCCATCAAAAGCAACATAAGAGTCAATGGAGAGATATTTAACATACAGTCTACTAGCTATTATAGACTGGATAAGTCCTAGACTTTTTTAGGTTATGGTAGGTAAGAAAGCAAAGATTAAAAAA